CCCGCCGCCCCTGTGCCCCGCCCATCACCGTTGACCATTCGGCGCGCGCACACAGAGCCCGCCGGCGCGTTTGTGCGCCCAACACCGCCCTTGGACGCCGCGCTTCGCACTGCTCTGTGAACAAGAGCGCGCGGGTGCGACTGGGGTCGATTTGCGGCCCTCGGATGCCCGCCCGTGCGCGGGCTGCGGCCCCACGCGCAGCCCGCCCTGCCGGGTGTGATGCCTGGCCCCGATTTTCCCACTGTCCGTGGTCAGCACTATCCCTCCCGGCCCCAACCGGTCGGCGGTTCGAAGAAGCATGTGGTGCGTGTTGGTCAGGCTGCGCGGGGCGTGCGGCCCCCCTTGTGCCTCGGCATTTCAATATGCACCGCGCCCGCACGCCACTGTCCGCAGCGCAGCTCGCGCTGGCCCGTTCGGCCTCCTGGCCCCCGGGCCCGCCGCCTTAGCCGGCGCTCTCCCCAGTTGCCGCCTGGCCCCCCTGTCTCCCCCCCCCTGCAGCGCTGGCGGCCCGCGCGGCCGCGCGCGCACGGCACCCGTGCGCGCGCCCGCCCGTGCCACGCGAAGGGCAGCCCTGCTGCGCGAAAGCAGGCGCCCCGCGCAACGCGCACCGCTCCGCCCCTCCGCCTCCCCGCACTGTGTTTTCCCGACCCGCCGCCGCGCGCGCGGCGGAGGCATATGCCTTGAGGGTGCGCGCGCGGCGCCGTCGCCCGCGCGCGCTCCCTCTGGAAGAAATGAACCCTCATCCCGGGCCAGTGGACTCTTTTCACACGGGGCCCGGGAACTGCATCACACAGTTCCCGGCCCAGCCGCCTGCGCATAAAACTATCCATCACTACACCTGTAACACACATTGCAACGGCCGGCATCAGGCGAGGTGGGCGCGAGGCGGGGCGCGAGGCGGGGCGCAAATTGACGCAAACGGCCGGTTGTGGGGCAGGTGTGGCAGGCACGCCACCTGGGGCGGCGCGCCTGTGCAGGCGCTGCTGCAGGCGCGGAGCGCATGAGCGGGCTGACCGGGTGCAACCATTGAGAAGCCGTTCTGCCAGGGCGTTGTGGGCGTTTTATAGCTGCTCGGGCAACAGCTGGCGGCGGCGGGGCCGTGCCCGTGCAAGCACCGCAGCGGCGGCTCTGAGAACGGCTGACGCCTGCTTCGGGCCCCTGTCGTCTCAATTCAGGGGTTTGCAACTTGGAGCGCGATCCAGTTTCGTCGCCAAGGCGGCAGCGGCGCCTGGTCAGCCGGCGCCGACTGGCAAGGCACTGGTTCACGAGCTGACAAACCAACACTTGTGTGTGTGGCGACACGCTCTTATTTGCCAGTGGTGTGCACAGCCGGCAGTGGACCCCTGAGCCTTGGTCATTGCGTTGCTGACGTGACACCGTGACTCACCTGCGCCCAGGAGTCGTGCTTTGTGGCGCTTCTGCACGCGTTGTGTAGTATGAAGCATGTTGGGTAATGCTGAGGCCAGGAACTCCACTACAGTAGGACGTTTCATGTTCAAAATGCATCGGTGCGCAGGTGCAGCTTATCTTGACACCAAGGGGGGGTGCGGTGCCATGCTAGGTTGACGGCTTTTGCACCCGCCCTCCCATTCTGTATGTCCCTCATCGCCGAAACCCTGGACGACTGCCCCACCATTCGCTCGCGTCCATATGACTACAGCGCATGTTGCTTGGCAGGGCGGCCTTTGGGCGACTGGAGAGTCACAACCGGACCCTGTGCCGGAGACAGCCCTGCAGCTGCTGCACCAGAAGCTGCGCCTCCTCGGCAGACCTGGTGCAGCAACCCTCGCACTCTTTGACTGCCCGCTCCCCACGCCCGGCACCGCAACCGTCGCGCGAGCCGAGTTCCCCGTGAACCTCCGCGGGGCGGGGTCAACCTCAGGAGCCCAGGCCGTACGGTGTTGTCAGCCGGTGCGAACAGCTCACCAAGTAGGGCAGGTTTCTGCGTGCAGCCGGCATCTGATGTGGGCAACGTGCACAGGCCACCGCAAGTACACCACACTAAGCACGCCTGGCATGGCGGGGCCGCGCACTGCTTGATAAGATGGAACTCAGGTTACCAGTTGAAACAGAGGAGAGCTCCATGCGCGTGTGTGCAGAAGGGGGTGCGTTGCGGGCACTGTTTGTGGACATTCGCACGACTTACAGCTCGTGTGCAGAGGGCTGGCGATTACCGCAGGGGCAAATGCAGCGCAGCAAGGGGGGGGGGCACACGCGGACGCAGGCGGGGCTGGACAGGAGGGGTCCTAGCAGCGGCTACGAGGCAGTTTGTGCGTGATTGGAGCGGCCAGCGGGGCGGGAGGTGCTCTGCAAAGGCTGCGCCGCAACGGCTGCACGACCCATCCGCAAAACCAAGGTGTTTTCGGTCTTGGGACCATGCATGCGCCTTTAACATGTGTTAGGGAGGTGGAATGCAATCCACACGTGCTATCAGAATGCGTATTGAAGGGCAACTGGGCTGCCCTATGAAACACAAGCATGGTGCTGCAGGTTTTGGATGTGGATGGCACCTGGAAAATGCCACCTACCGCACACCATGGCAGCAGGAACGGCACCTCGCATGGATGCGTGGTGCTGTTGAGAACAGCAGCTTAGAACTTTGCAATCCTGGATGAGCATTACGCTGCACCACATCCGGCACAACAACAACTTGCTAAAACCACCGTCTGTGCGTGGTCCACGCATGTGTACGTGTGCAGGAACCCGTCAGTCACAAAACTCGGCCTTCCAGGCTGCGCCGCTGGAGCGCAACGGTGCGGCAACAATGACATGAAACACTGTGCAGTGGGCCGCGGGCGCGGCGGCTAGCGGGGCCGCGCTGCGCCCCAGTGGGGACGTGCGCCTGTGAGGCGCGGTTGCGCAGCGCAGGCGTGCACGCGGCACGGCACATCAACGTCAGTGCCTACAGGAGCATGCCAAGCTTGATCGCAGCAAGTTGTGTGCGGTTTGGCGTTGGGTAGCCCCTGTGCGGCCCCGCCAAATGCACAGAATGAATTGCGCCCGCGCACAGGGCGGCGGGCGTTTGATTGACCCTGGTTGTAAAGAACAGGAATGACCTCGCTTGACCATGGCCGTTAGGGGGGGGACCATGCGTGCGTCTCGTTCAGTCAGGTGCATGCCGCCCCGCCTGTCGGTCGCTGCAGCCGGGTTAGGGCCCACTTAGTATAGGCAGCGCAGCGGGAGCAGCGGCCTACAGGCTGCGTGTGGCAGCCATGCCTCGCTGTGCGCTCGCCTGCAATGTCACTCAAGACCACACCTGACCCCCTCGGTTTCCGGCGCGCTGCGTGTCTTGCCCTGTCAACGCAGAAATACGCGGCCACGCGGCTGCGGAAGTGCTTCAGAGCACCCGGGCCCCTGTGCGTGGCGTCAGCAGCCCCGCAGCGGTGCCCACAGCCTTCCTCGCGCCCCGGCGGTGGCCGACGCAGAAGCACAGGCGCCGCTGCCAGTCCCAGCCACGCAGCAGCAGCCCCACAAAGCAGCGCGGCTGCTTCCACTCAGCACGCCCGCTCGGCGATCGGCGCCGCAGCCGTCCGCCGCGCCCGCGGCAGCGGCGGGCGGCGCGGGGGCACCCTAATTCGAGAGCAAGACAGCCCTCGGTGCTCATCGCCGCTCCTTGCGGGCCAGCAGCAGCAGCCCCAGGTACGTGCCCGCGTGCACCACCAGCAGGTATGCCACCAGGCCCAGGAGGTACACGTAAGACGGTGACGTCATCCCAAAGTACCGCAGGATGGCGTCCATTTCCATGACGCAGCCAGCGCCGGGTGACGCCAGCGCCTTGGCGAACTGAGGGGTTCCAAATAATGGGAGAGAGGGGGAGAGCGCGTGGGATGGCTGGGGAAGGAGCGAAGTCGCACGCGCGACGCGGCTGCCTGGTGGTGCATGTGCATGTTCAATAGCCCTCGAGCGGCGCGGGGGAGACCAGCAGCCGCATGTGAGGGCCGCGCCAGCTGGCCCTCACCAAGGGGCCGTGCAGCTGCGGCGTCGCGGGCAGCAGCCCCCTGATAGCGTCCACCATGTCCGGCCGCGCCAGCCCCGACGCGCAGCTGAAGACCGCCGCCTCAAACTCGGCCTTCAGGTAGGCAGAGTAAGCAAAGTTGACCGCGCTGGCGTAGCGGAAGGCGGACAGCCACTGGAAGCGCATGTCGGCGAAACGGATAATGAAATTTGAAAAGTACATGTTGAAGGCGCTCCACACAACTGCGGGAAAAAGGGCGTTTGTAGGGAGGGGATGACGAGAGCGATAGGCAGCGGAGGTGCAATCCAGCAAGCCCGTGACAATGGGCCGTGACGGAGCGGTGCAAGGCGTCCAGCCCCTGCATTTGCCGAAGGCTCTCCCATGCCGTGGCGAGGAGCGCGAGTGCGCCCGGATGCGAGAGGGCGGGGCTCACTGGTGAGCAGGAAGGAGGCGTCCTCGTTGGGCATGATGATGGAGGCCGCGGATTGCAGCTGGAGGTGGGTTTCGGGGTTTGGGGTCGGGGGCGAGACGGTCAGGGCTTGGTGTCGGAGGTGGGTTAGGCGGTGCGGGGCGGAAGGAGCCCCTAGCAGTCAGCAGGCATGCACAACACTGTGCCTGCAACGGCACTACCCCCCCCCCCCTCCAGCTGCCTATCGTCTGAGGAACAGCGCCGCCCGTACCGCCCGCCGCACCTGCTGCGCGATGAGGTACAGCAGCACGCTGGCCGCGCCGTTGGTGGCCACAGAGTAGGTGGACAGCCGCAGCCCGGTCATTCCATAGCAGATCAGGCTGCAGACCTGCAGCGGGACGTGTCAAAGTGGCAAAGTTGACACTCGGCAAGGGCTGCCCACTGCTGCAAACTAAGCATGACTACACTGTCTGCAGCCAGCGACATGCTGACGAGGGCTGCGGTGATGCGTCGCCCCCGCTGCCAGGCGACTGTGTCCCTTGAGGCAGCCACCGGGTTGATTGCGCTGAATTGTCACGATAGGCAGCACAAACGGTAGGCCCCACCCTGGTGCTTTGCCGCTGCTGCTGCTGCTGCTGCTGCCGCTGCCGGTGACGGTGCTGCTGCCGGTGACGGTGCTGTCCCGTCCGCGCAATTCCAGGGCACGCACCAGCACGTTGGCGAGAATGAAGGGCAGCACCGCCAGAGTCTTGGCAGCGTAGTAGGGGGAGGGGCTGTACAGCCGCGCGCTGATGTCAGCGGTGTAGTGGCGCTTGTCGGCAGCATACAGGCTCATGTAAACATACCTGTGGGGGGTTGATGGTGCCAGAGTTTGGTGGGGTGAGCAGTTGCAGTTGTGGGAGCACACGGTTTGCTGTTCAAACCGTGGAAATGCGCGCCCCAGCTGCAGCTAGTGCCTCGTGCCCGCAACCACACACCCAGTCGCACCACCCCAGCGCACTCCCAACTCACGGCATGAGCAAAAACTGCAGCGCCATGATGAACAGCACGTTGATGCGGTTGCGCACGCCGTCCACGCCGTCGCCGTCGCCCATCCGCCAGAACACCAGGCCGCACACCACCCCCATGTACGCAAACAGCAGCATGCGGCCGGCCACGTCGGCCGGGTTGCGGACAGTGCCCAGCATTTCCCGCCACACCAGCGCCCTGAGGGGGCGGGAGGTCACAACTCAAGTCAAGATTTGGGCTGGGAGACGGCGGGGCCCACGTACGGCGGCACACTCCGTGCCCTGGGGTGCCTGCTGACCCCTGTTTGCGCGGCGCTGCGGATGTCCTGTCTCCCACTGCTGCTGCTCACGGGCCGAGCAGGCACCCAGCGCTGTTCGTGCCGCGTGATCGCGTGCAACAAAACAATTGCTGACATACCGATCGCTGGTTTACGCAGTGGACCCCCAACCTCACCCCCTCACCTGAAGGTGGTCCACCAGCTCGGCCGCCGCCGCTTGTCGGGCAGTCCCGGCCCCGCCCTGCCCCCGCTGCTGCCGGACACGGGGCTTGTGCTCTCCACGTCGACCGCCACAGTGTGCTTCACCACATCCGGCAGTCCCGCCCGCTCCTCCCGGACCGACCCGTTCGCCGCCACGACCAGCGCCGCCGGCCGCGCGGCGACCGCCTTGCCGGGCAGGAGGCCGGCCAGCAGCTGCCTGTGCACTGATACGGCTTTGAGCGCGCCGGTGCCGTTCTCGGCTGAAGCGTGGCCGCAGGTTGCCCTATAGTGGACGGAGAATTTGGCCGCTGCATCCGCCAGCTCCTCGCGGCTGCTGATGGTGTTGCCGCCGCCCAGCTGGCAACGAGGTTTGTTCAGGCGGCGCGGGACGACGCAGGCGCGTGAGGAAGGCACCCGCATGCCATGCAGATAGATGGCGGTCTGACAGCGGCGCCGACCTGCCAGACGGTATCACAACCGCTGGGCAGTTGCCTGCCGTTGCATTCACAGAAAATGCACACAAAAACAGAAAACACACACATACACAACACACATTCCGCCGTTTCACACACATTGGTATGCAATGCTACCACCAAGCAGCTGGAACACGCCATGCACATCAGAGACGCACTCAGCGCAGATATTCCACTCATCACAACCCCAAGTCAACCGAGTGAAACCTCTGTCCCTCGCTCCGGCTGCTCAACCCCAAGCTTCTCCTTAGACGACCAGATGCGCCCGACAACCGCAAGGCTGCACTCAGCACGCGTGCGCAGGCATCGGCACCCCCACCTGCGGCTTGTTGATGAACCCGACATTGACGAGGTCCATCACCCAGTCGCACGCCGTGCCGTGCACGTCAGACTGCCACGGCCCCATCCCTATGGACTCGAACCAGTCCACTATCCTGTCGCAGCCGCCGGCGTACAGCAGCATGCCGCCCGACAGGAGCGAGCACGTGTCGAACGCCGCCCAGACCGCCGCGCGCGGCTGGTGGATCGAAGCGACGATCGTGAGGCCGCTGTCGCGCGCGCGATCGCGCAGGTGCTCCACCACCGAAAGGGCCGAGCAGCTGTCCAGGCCGCTGGTCGGCTCTGCGGCGCGGCGCGGGGAGTGCCGGGGGCATCGGGCGCGGCGGCGGGGTCGTGAGGGGCCGGACTCGAATCCGGCGCGGCAAGCGCTCGAGTTGGGGGGCGCCCTCGGCCCCGAGAGAGCCTCTTTGTTGGATAACATATCCAGCTGCAGCCCGTGCAGTTGCTGCGCTATCGATGCATGCGGCCACCCTAGCATACACCAAATCGTCTAGAAAACCCAGGGGCATTCCGAAATCCTCACCATCCAGGAAGATGATGCTCGGCGCCGCCAGGATGCCCACCGCGATCGACACGCGCTTGCGCTCGCCGCCGCTGAGGCCGCGCAGGCAGAGCCCGCCAGGCAGCACGCCGCCCACCTGGCGCGGGGGCGTGGCAGCCGGGGAGGCCACAGCTCAAGCAACAGCTGCCGGCGCAGCCCAGCCCCTGCGCAGCATTCACCCACGAGCTGACAAACCCGCTCCCCCGCCTGCGTCACCACACGCCCTCACACCACCCGCCCTGCTTTGCCAGGGACCCACCAGCGTGTCCCGCGCGTGCAGCATCCCCATGGCCGCCAGCACCTCGTCGATCCGCTGCGCCGTCTGCTGCTGCGGCGTCCCCCGCGGCAGCGTCAGCGCCGCGTGCAGCGCGCACGTCTCCCCCACCGTCATCGTCGGCAGGAACGTGTCCTCCTGCGGCACGTACGACACGTGGCGCGCGAAGCTGGCGCCGCGCGCCACGCCGTTGACCGACACCGAGCCGGTCAAGCGCCCGACCGACTTGCGGGCCGCGAGGATGTCGAGGAGCGTCGACTTGCCCGCGCCACTTGGGCCCATGAGAGCAAACATCTCGTAGGGCCGCGCGACGCCGCTCACATCCTGTGGCGCGGCAGGGTGATCGAGCGGGTATACGCGCAGGGGGCAGGCGTCGGTGGGCACGCACGCCGGCCGGGCTTGCTGCAGCCCCTAGGCTCTGAGGGCTGCAAGCAATGGTGGTTTTTGAGCTCGGCACCCCTGATCAAGGCCATACGAATCACTAGGCAGTGATCCCTTGACAACCCTGGGTCGGCAGGGCAGACACCAACGGCAATCGCTGCGCGCGCAAGCCAGCAACTCAATCTGGGCCCTGGCCGGGGGCCGTGCAGGGGCCCCGGCGCACCTGCAGCACCGTCTTGACCCCGCTCGGCGTATTGTACGCGCAGCCGAGGCCGTCCCACTCCAGCAGCAGCGTGGGGCCGACGTGTTGGTTCTCCCGCCACAGCTCGCCGCTGGTTGGCCGCGGCAGCGCCACCTTTGGAGCCGCGCCCGCTGCGCGGTGGAGCGCCAAGCACCGCAGGGCGCGTTAAATGCGCCAACGCTTGGAATTTTTTGACTGTGACCCCGACCCATTCGCTGTCACCGCGCTTGCGCGTGTTTTGGCATGCATCCTAGCGGCTCAGCGGCTGGGCCTCGGCCACCCGGCGGGTGAGAGCAGCCCCCCCGGCCACCGCACCTCTCCAGAAGAACAGGGCACCTAACAGCTTGCTCCATAGCTCAGGTGCAAGACGCGCCAGCGCCTTCGCGAGCCAGTAGGCGGAAAACAAGTGCGCAAAGACAAGGCAGGGCACCCACATCGAAAGCCCTGCCGGGTGAACCTCCGCCATCGTGCTGATAATGAATTATTATCAAGTTTTATAGCGGTGGGCACGGCACGGCGGTGATTTGCGCCAGGCTCGGTCCTGACGGTGTGTGAGAGCCGGTGTCGGGGCCTGTGCACGGGTGATTAAGGCCTTCAAAGGCCCTTTCAAGATCGCGAGCACTGCCGGGCCCTTTCTGCTCGGTCACGACTTTGGTGCCACTCACCCGACCTTTGGCAACCCGCGCGGCAACACACAACGGACTGACCCGAGCGCTTCCCGTCTAGGAACTAAAAGAGCGCGTTCCAAAACTTCCCCATTTATCTAGCGTGCTATCGTGCAGCCCAACCGAAGGCGCCCCACTCGCGCATCTGCCGCGGCGTGCTCTCACCATGGGGCGCTTCCGCCATGGGGCGCCCCACTCCGCGGGCGCCGTCGAGCAGCTGCGTGCCGCGTCCCCTGAAACAGAAAGACCCAAACTCCTTGGCATGCACCAGGCCCTGTTATGTGCCCCTTGGACGAGGCCGCCCTGCCATAGTTCTCACCCGACTCAGGAGGGGTGATCCTCGAGAGATTGACCGCGGATGCAAACAACGCAGCGCGTGGTCGACGGCGTCACTCAAATCGCACATGCTGCTCGACGCACATCAATCGAGCGCCTGTCTCTTGCTGAAGGGCCGGTGCGGCGCCCGTACTGAAGGCAGCAGTTCGCCCGGCCCCGCCAGGCGGAGGCCAACGAGCATTGCCCAATCCACCCCTTTGATGGCAGCCCCGCTCAGCGGCGCTGTCCGGCGCCCAGGTGGCGAGTCCACTTGGGCATGCTCCACTTGGCGTCAACCAAGCAGCAGCTCCACCTGGTCACCGGTGCCCCTGCCCCAGCAGCTGCCCCAAGGGCCACTGCTGTGCGGTCTTCCAGTCTGTCCCAACCCCTACCGATTCCCGCCAAAAAGGTGAATTACCCAAGCAAAAGAACAGCGACACCACACCAACGTCCTCCTGCCTAATGACTGCAAATTTGGTGCCAAACAACACCCCCGTGCATACGAGCAGGCAGAGCAATGAGGCCGAGGGGCATGAGGCAAATGGCAAGCCAAGGTGCAAAAAGATGCCGCAGTGCTGCAGTGGAAAGACATTGTTGTGCCAAAGGTGGATGCATCAGAGAATCAGAGTTTGAAGCCGCTGCCACAACGCCAACATGTCCTCCAGTGAGGTCTCTTGCAGGAAACACTGCCGCCCTGCCGCCGCGCCAGCGGAAACAGCTCGAGCCCAGCAAAGTCTCGTCCGCTCCTGCGCCACACGCGCCCGCGACCACGGACCCTCACACTGCACCGGCAGCAGCCGCGCCGCGCCGAGCACGGCCGCACGCTCCGCTCCCGCGCAAGCGCGCGCGCGCGTCACATGAAGTCGTCGGCGCTGCGTGCCGGCAGGTTTGAGTAGAACGCGCGGAACCCCATCACCCCGGGCACCCCCCTCAGGAAGGGCGGCCGCAGGATGTAGCAGATCGCCACAAACGCGCCCCAGCCGAGGCCGGCCCACCAGCAGAACGCGAACGCGGAGAGCAGCCCCGCGTACAGCCAGGCGCACGCGACGAGGTCCTTGCCGCTGGCCATCGAGTAGAGGGCCTCCGCGGTCGTGGTGACGTCATCGAGGATGTTCTGGGCCAGCAGGGCGTACTGCGGGGCGGAGGGGTTGCGGGCGCGAGGGGCTGGGGTGCCGCTCAGGCGCAGTATGTTGCGGAACGGCTGCTGTGTGGAGTCTCAATCACAGGTGGCCGGCTGCACGCAGGCGACTATCTTGGGCAGTGTGCCGAACGCGAGTCAAACACGCCAGGGTAGGCGCGAAGGAGGCCGCGTGATGTGCCCTCTGCCTACGCTTGTCAACACTTTGGAGAGCCACCCCAAGCGCCCGCGCGCCTGCCGCATGTGGCTGCTGTGGGTCTTGAGCAGCCTCATCAGCCCGCTGAGTGACGTCATCTGGTCCAGCAGCCCCTCGATCGCCGACAGGTCCAGGTCCCCGTCCTGCAGCTGCCGCTGCAGCGCCTCCAGCGTCATCTCCTCCTGAGCCTTGCGGCGGCGGCCGCTGGCGGCGCCGCCACCACCACCCTCGGTGGCGCCGCGGCGCGCGGCCGCGGCTGAGCTTTGGGGGGACGCGGCGGCGTCGAGGGCGGCGGCGTGGGGGTCCTTCGGGCCGCCGCGGAGCTGCTCCCGCAGCATGAGTGCTGCTCGGCGGTAGCTGCAGCAGAAGCCGAGGGGGCAGAGCGATGAGGAGGATTCAAGGGGTGGCTGCGGCGTTCTTCAGCAGCCGCATGTGCAGCCTTGACAAGCTGCATTCATCAAACGGCCGTCCAGCTGTCCGTGCCATTCTGGTTCAAACCATATCAACACCCGCAGTCCTCCAACCATGCGTGTGCACGTGCACACGCCGACAACGCACACAGCCGCACGCACCCACCTCTCCTTCGCCTCCATGCTGCTGGCCGCCTTTCTCTGCCCAGACAGCGCCTTCGACAGATCCCCCACCGAGTCGCCGCTGGCGAACTCCTCTTCCTCCTCCTCCTCATCGTCCTCATCGAGGGGGCAGGCCACCTCGAACCCCACGATGCCTGCGTGAACCTGGGGGGTGGTTAGGGGAGAGGGGTGAAAGATGCTGAGATTACTTGCTGGTGCGATTGCTGTGTGTGCGGTGCTGGTGTGTGTGTTTTGTGCGTGTAAGAGAGAGAGGGGGTGTGGCGAGTGCATGTGTGCATGTGTGCATGTGTGTGCGTGTGTGCGTGTGTGTGTGTGTGTGTGTGTGTGTCTTGTGCTGATTACTGCATTGCTGATTGGGGTGAGCGAACAACCTGCATGCAAAAACCACAAGGTCCATACGCCTTTGCCAGCTAAAACACAATTGCAATATGCACTTGAATGCTTCCCTGACCACTCACAAACACACACACAGATGCACCATCACCTGCAAGAAGGCCAGCCGCAGCATCCACACAGCCATCACCGCGGTGACGCTGAAGAGCCACTCCGCGGGGTGCAGGCAGACGTGTGACAGCACCCACAGCAGCAGCACGTTGCGCCAGGGGCGCTTCCAGAAGTAGAGACCCCTTTGTGTGAGAGGAGATGTGTGTTTGTGTGTGAGTGTGTGTTTGCATGCATGTCAGCGTGTGCGAGAGAGAATGTGTGTGTTTGTGTGTGTGTGTGTGTGTGTGTGTGTGTGTGTGTGCAAGCGCGTGAGAGAGAGGGGGATTGAGGTAGTGTGTGTGTGCACAATCGATGGTCTGAGTCTCTGGGTCAATGGAAGCCGAGTTCACAAGAAGGGCCAGCCCATGGAACACGACCTGCGCTCCCCGCACCCGGCAGCGCTGGGGCAACCCGCAACCACTAGGCGCAGCAGGCACTCACATGGGGTCCAGGCGCTTGGGCACCCATTCGGTGATCTCCTTGAGGCGGTGCAGGTGGGCGCGCACGCGCCGGCGGCTGAGGCGGCCCCGGAGACGCGGCAGAATCTGGGGGACACAGCGTGTGGGGGGGGGCAGGAGAGCCACGTTTGATGTGTGTGTGTGTGGGGAGGGGGAGAGGTGGGAAGCTGTGTTTTGTGTGGAGGGGGGGGAGACGGAAGGCATGCTTGGTGAGTATGTTTGCGGGGAAAGTCAAGTTTGGTGTGTGTATGTGGGGGCCAGGGCATGTGGGGATGGGGGGTGGGGGGTGACGGGGTGGCGACTCCGGCAGGTGCCTGCAGCCCGTGAGCTCTCAATCACCTGCTGTCGGCGCGCCAGCCGCGGCCACAACACGCTGCACTCCGCCACTCGCCACTGGCGCCGCGCTCCGGACACATCAAATGCCCCGCCCAGCTCGGCAAGCAGCAGACACAGAAGCGGGAGAGCCCCGTCAGCGGGAGCGAGCCCACCCACCCGCTTGACCACTTGGGGGGGTATGCTGGGGCTGGCCTCCGCAAGCCACCGCCCCACCAGCGCCTGCGCCTCAAACTCCAGCTGCTCCCCGCTGGCGCACGCCCGTATCGATGACGTCAGCATCGCCAGCGGCAGCGGCGTCAGCAGGTAGCTTCCCGCCAGCCGCGCGGCGCCGAGCCAGCCGGACCAGCCGCACCAGCCGGGGGCGTGGCGGG